ATTAAAACTAGTCAAATGAACAAAACAAACAAAAAAAAGAAATAAAATAAGAAATAAAAGAATCATTTACGCTATACTGATGTAAGAGATCGGAAATCAATTATTTCTTTGATTTTTATTCACAGCTTTAATCCTTCTCGCCACACTGCGGTCAGGTTCAGATGACCAACTAATCTGAACATTATTTAGTGGAATCATACATGTTTGTGCTGGAAACCAAAATAAAGTGGGAATGAATGGGTCTCACACAGGAAGAGATGCTGATTTAAGAATCGCTGTTTTTTCCCCCCAGAGTAACTGTGACACCCTGATCTTTAACTCAATATTATTATTTCTCTTGATTTATCAATTTCTTCTACTTCTTTTTTTTCTTAAACTGACAAGTTAAAAGTAAATTTGATGGAATCAAACTAAAATGGTCCAGTTTAGGAATAAAGCTCGGTTGGGATAATTTGTATCAACCTGCATTACTTCCAGCCACTTCAGTTTCCACAGGGGTCATTAAAACCTCCAGTCCTGCTCTTTCCCTTAAAGCAGCTTCGGTCTGTAAAGCTTCCCAACACTGCGATTGTGTTGGGAATAATTTTTGTTAACCTGCAAACCACTGATCCTCTTCTAAGTGTCGGCAGACATGGTCCACTTGACACCAGTGATACTTGTATCATATAGGTGAGGGTGATTGATAGAGTAGAATTTGATAGGAAGCACACCAGCATACCCATCACCAATGTACAACAAGCGCTACAGTCAAAAACCCTCAGCAAGAATGTAAATAGAGCTTCATTACTAAAAATGACCATTGATTAATAGCAGAGTAAAGTTGCAATATTAACGGTTCATATCGTGCGCACATTAAAAGCAGTGAAAGCTAACGTTGTTTCATTAGAGTCGTTGCTCGTTTTTTGCCCCCGTTTAGTGGCAAGAAAAAAAACATTTCTAGATTTCAAAGTCCACTGAAGATGCGTTTTTAAGTTAAAAAAAATCAAACAGAAGAAAAACAGCCTGCAGAGCATCTGAGGCCTGTTTATACTAGTCATGGACATGGTCTCGATTTATCAACCGGAGACTGTTCATCATCAGGTCGGTTTTTCAAAAACAGCTCAGGGGCGGAATCACCAGAGACGAGACTCAAATAAGCTAAGATTTCACTTGTCATCTCACAATATTTCTGTTTTGACACTCTGACCACGCAGAACAGATGTTCCTGCAAAAAGCAAAAAACAAAACAAACAAAAAAAAAAATAGCACTAAATTATTCTTGATTTGATCATCCTACTATTTTTTTATGCCTAAAAAAAACCTTCTGATTTGCCAAAATGATCTTAAAACTGTGCTTGGAGCAAAAATAAATGATTGGAATTCATCCAAATCTCAAACACTGTTTGAGCCAAAGTCATTATGCTAATACCTCAGTGTGGTTTTATGCATTGTTGTTGACTTCTGTTAATATTAGTACTATCTCTGAGGATAAGAGCGCCTCCTTGTGAACAAGGGTAGCACCAAGATTTAAGAAAAACAACAAAGTTTCAGATTACGCCTCAGGAGAAAAGACGAATGCGTACAGGTAGTTTATCTTCCTTCTGACGTTTTTGATCAGTGTATTGCATCACTTACAATTCATTCTTGGGGAAAAGAAAGTGTCTTCATCTTGGTGGCTGTTGAATCGCCTGTGTTCAACATGAGGATTCAAACGGAAAGGAAGCATTTAGCCGTGTTTTCCTGAAAGAGGAGTGCTCAGAGAGATGAGGCTGGAGAGGGAACGGGACTCGGTATTTGTTGATAATCGTTCAGGTTAACATAAGATAGATGCTGCAAAGTTCGAAAGCATAAATGTTTAAAACAGACAGAAGAAATACAGAAGCAGGACAATGGTTTCATATGGATTCTTAATGACCTATCAATATTAAGCAGGCTATGCATTTAAATAACGGCACTTAAGTGCTCTCCTTAGGAATGCATTTGTGCAGCACTTGTGCTTTTGTTTGAGGCTGTTCTATAATTTATTAATTCATATCCTATGCAATTTCGCAAAACACGAAAAACAATCACTCAAAATAAATAGCAATCTCATAAACGTATCAAATAAACAGAGAAACACACCTTTGATCCCAGTTGGATATACAACAAGAGCGGATAAACGTTGCACTGATCGCAGTTTTCTGGTCGATCGTCAATCTTTCTAACAGCCTAACCTGCTGATCCCGCTTGACTGCACATAAAAAAAGCAATAAGACACTTGTTCAGTACGCAGTTTACACAAGTTATATTTTTTAATGTGCCGCTTGTGCGCAATAAGTTACCAGTGACAATCTGGCATGCGCTAAAACTGAAAGGATTTACTATGTTTTTTGTTTTTTTTGTTTTTTTTTGCCAACTACCATAAGTGAAATGTGTGCCTTTGATTTAAACAGATACAAAAATGTCAAAATTAACTACTAATTAATAGTTTGTAACTTTGACTTTCTGTACATTTGAAGGTATACTGAATACAAACCTTGAGGCTCCACTTTCAAAAAGAGTTGTCATTTTTCCAACTTTCATACTGAAAAATTGCTACATATGAAGACAGTCCACCAAAAAAGTAGTTAAAGTTGCAATCAGAAATTGAGTAGCATTCATTAAACCTGTGACAGAAATACTGCTATGCAATCTCTACCGTTGTGGACATATTACCGCTGCGTTTGAAGGCATAAAATAGAAAACACCACGTTGGCCATCCAAAGAACTGAAACAGGTGTCCCAATCACTTATATTGCCACCGGTGTATAAAATCCAGTGCCTTGGCATGCAGACTTGTTTTTACAAGCATCTGTGAAAGAATGGGCCAACTTCAGTAGCTCAATGATTTCCATTGTGGTACTGTGGCCTGATGCCAGCTTTGCAATAAATCCAGTTGTGAAATTTCCTCTGCACCAAATATTTTACAGTCAACCGTTAGTGGCATCATAAAGAGGATGTAGTTGATAGCCACAGTCGTCCACGCCTCCAGTGGCCTCCAGATTAGCTCCACAACAGTGCATAGAGCGCTTCGGGAAAGGAGCTTCCATTGCAAAGCAGCTGCATCCAAGCCTTAGTGCAATGCAAAGTGTCAGCTTCAATGCATGGTTGTAATGCACACGTCTACTGGACTCTATAACAGTCACAATTCAGGGGATCAGGCTTTGGTTGGTAGTTGCCAGACTACATTGTCCAAATATCCATTGTCTATACCCACTTCTCCTTGCAGGGCTGGCATCTTTCTCTAGCTTTCATTGAGAGAGAGAGAGAGAGAGAGAGAGAGAGAGAGAGAGATGCAGCAACACCATGGACAGCTCACCAGTCCATCACACAGGCAACACAGAGACAAACAGCCATGCATACCTAACAGTCATGTTTCTGTCAAGCCAGCGTGAATGCACGCATTCACGAGAAGAACGTGCAAACCCCAGGCCAGGATTCGAACCTAGGACAAAGAAAGTTCCATAAAGACACAGACGAGTCTCGGCTGGGACAACATGACCGGTTTTGCACAGATTCCCGACCTCAGCCTGAGCCAGGTCTTTTCATCCATCATCAGTGTCTGAAACCACACGGACGCATCCGGAATAAAAGGTAAGTAATTCTCATCCCTGCCATCCTAAAAACCTTACGGAAAACCTTCCCGCAAGAGCCGAAGCTGTTGTGGCTCCGAAGGACGCACAGACTACTTGTCAGACCACATGGATTATGAATGGGACGTCTTTCAAGTTCATTTGCGACTGAAAGCGAATGATCAAATACTTCCAGCAACACATTGTACTTTGGAATTAGTGTTAACAGTATGAAAATGATTTGCAAATCCCACAGGTTTACAGAAGAAGCAAACAATACGTCAGTAGGAATAATTGCTTAACTTGAATATCTACTAGCAAATCACATCTTGAGACTCTGGCATGTGTTTTTACAATAGTGTTTTTCAGCATGAAATCAACCTGAGCTGTTTGTGGGGGTTTTTTTGTTGTTTTTTTTTTAAATGAGCAACATTTCTCCTTAAAAAAAGGCCCTGAATATGGCTCAACAGGTGGAGACAGCAAAGGATGAAAGCCATGTTCCTCATTGCAACATATGAAGCAAACAAAACAAATTTTCAAACAAGGACATTTGGATTAGTATAGAATTACTGCTGGAATCAAAAGTGGAAAGCAAAACAGACGAATCCACACTAATTTTTACATTAGAAAATGTAAAAATGTATATTTGATTGTGGAAAAAAAATATAAGGGAGATTAATGGGGAAAAAAAACATACCGTTACATCATAATGACTGTATGTGAGTCTGTCGCTCATCATGCTATAAATAACACCAGTAACCTGTAGATGCCACCAACACAGCAAATAAAAGGAGCAGACCAAACCACAAGGTGGTGCCAAAAATATATCCTCCCTCCACTCTTCATGACAACATCGCCAGTCAATACCCCCTCCACACACACACACGCACGCACACACACCTCCTGTGAATCTGTGTTTTGAGGGGGGGGGGGGGCACTTTCCCAACTGTGCGCAGAGCGTCACATCAACATGCGCCACACATCTGCTGCTCATCACCCACGAAATGAATTTACAGTCCGATCTGTGTCACTTTCTGCCTGCGCCCTCCCAACATCCGTCACGACCAAGACGTCCTCTCTGCCTCCTTCCAACTAATGACTTGCGCTCTCCTGTCGCTGCCGCGCAAAGGACGGCTTCCATTCGGCCCAACATGCAACAATGTGCGCACGGCCAGAGTCCGCACAACAAGACAACTGTAGCCGCTCGGATATAAGCAAACAATCCGAGCAGTTCAAATCTGGCAACAAACCAACAGCTTCAGTCATCCATTAATTGGCAATTGCCCTGTAAATAACTATTAAACTTATCCCGCACGAATAAGCGACGTCTACCAAAACGCTTCATTTGCGTCGAGTCAATCTTAGGCAACTGACATTCTTTTAAACTCCGCGCAATCCCAAATGAAAAAATAAAAAATAAAAAAGACTCACCTTTGCTGCCTTCTTTGCTCGACTTAAAAATCAATTTCCCTCTCACTTTGGCGCGGGGTTTGTGCGGTTCGGTCCGCAGAACTCACGTTGAATCGCAAGAAAAGCCTGTAATTTGCAGAGTAACTCAATTTCCCCTCCTCGGGTCTCTGGATCTCACGCAGCTCCCCTCCACCACCGACACTCTCCGGACAGAGAAATGGACAGATTAAATGCGATAGCGATAAGATCAACAGCGGTCCGGGGAAATCTCTCCCCCTCTCTCTCTCTCTTTTTTTTTTTTTTTGGATGAACAGATCTTTTCCCGCTTTCACGGGACAGAGGCAGAAAATAAGAGCAGAGGGGTGAAAGAGGGGGAAGAGAGAGCGGGTGGCAGGTGAGGGAAATCACATCCGAAGGAGTTTGAAAAATATCCCTCTTCTCTTTATCACCAGTAGAAATGAGCCCCCCCTTTTTTCCTCGCCGGTTAAAGAGTTGTTGTTGTTGTTTTTATTATTATTGTTCCACGGGCTCACAATCTGATAGGCCTTAAGAAGTGGAAGGTGTATCTGTGAGGATGATTGCAACGACGGCGCCGGTGATGCTGCGTAACCCGCATCCCACTTCCCCGTTGAGGGAAGAGCGCAGAGAGAAAAAGCGAGGCAGCTGATCCCTCTCTGTGCGCGAAGAAGCTCCTGTGATCAAACACTCTGCAGCCTGCCGAAAATAAAAAAGAAGAAAGAAGCCTCCCTTTTTTTTTCACATCTTGCGCTGTTGATCCATCCACTGCGGTCCGGTAGAAAGGTTCAGAGCAGACTGAGGTGCGGGTGAGGTCTGTCCTTTCTCCTCCTTTCCCTCTCTCGATCTCCCTCCCTCTCCCTCTCTCCGTCAGAAAAGGAAGATGCTCGGTCGGTGCCGTCCTCACGCAGAGACTCGCCGGGCGTGAAAAGGAAAATGCTCCCGGACTCTGCATTTATAAACCCATCACAGGAGGTGGACGCGGTCCGCATACGGAATAAGAACACGGGTTTTTACGGGGGGGGGGGGGAGAAAGTTAACCGTGTGACATGTTGCTCCAGCCCGTATGAGTCGTTGATTGGTGTTGAAAGAATATTTCGACACCCAACTTATCCAGCTGCTATTGTTTTGTCTAAAAGAGAAAGAAGGAGAGAGAGAGAGAGAAAAACGGAGTAGACACAAAAAAATTGTGCTGCTTAAACAACAATTTCTTACTGGTTTTCATCTCACTAAAGTATTACAAAGAAAGCAAATCCAGTTTCCACATCTCTTTGGTTGAAGATGTCAGGGGCTTGTTGGGTGGGCAGTGCGGTCATCCAGTGTCCTGTGAAAGTAAACGGCCTTTAACTTTTACACTTCTTGGCATGTAGCGACCACAAATTTCAGCACAGCTTATTGGGATTTAATGATAGGCTAACACAAAGTAGTGCATAATAGAAAAGTGGAAGAAAAATTTTAATTTTTTTTTGCTTTTTATAAAGAATCTTAGAAGTGTGCATTTCTGCCTACCCAAACCCCGTTTAAAGCCGAGTCAGGCTATATAGAGATATATCCCAAACACTGAACTTCTCACAGGGCTCCGTTCAGGTCATCATCTGAAAATGTACAACACGACTGGTAACCTACCAAAACATGGCCATGTTATCAACCTCGGCAAAGGTCACTGTGCTTTTGTTTTTTCCCGCGAGAGAGGTTTTACTGACAAACCGGCCGACCGGGTCATGTCTGCAACATTTGCAATTAGCAATAGTCACCCCATTGTTGCCAATTCAGCAACTTTATTGATATATTGAGCAACATTTCAGACAAAAAACTGGCATCGGCCAGAAAACTGCCATCGGTGGACACCTATTATTTATGTGTTTGAATGACACAGTCAATTTCCAAACTTAATCCAATTGAGAATCAGCAATACAACTCACAGATTTTCCTCATCCAATGTGACCAATGAGCTTTTTTCAGCTCCAGTCTTTATTTGACAGTGAGAGAGGGAGAAGAAATGTGTGTAAGGCCTACAGGCCGGGACTCAAACCCAGGACAGGTCTGTCGAGGACTGAGCTGAGTACATGGATGAGCACTACACCCCTGTGCCCTTACTTATGAGCTATTTTCCAAAGAAAACTGGACAACTAGTTGATTTAGGGGGTCCAACTACAAGATCATGCCACATTTCATACTTTTATTTGTAATTTATTTGTGTTGGTCTGTCTCATAAAACCCCCAACATATTAATTGAAATTTGTGGTTGTTTGTAGCACGACAAAAAGTGGACAAGTTAAAATGACTTGACTACTTTTGCAAAGCGCTGTACCTCCTCACTTCTGCCGTTTGGTTCTTTGAGTGGCCGCCAGTTATTTTGCAGTAAGAAAAAAAAAACCTAATACATGGATTGAGCACTATATGTCCACACTCTGACACACAGATGAGTCACAAACATAGTGGATGAACTGTAAATGTCAATTTAAACACTGAACACTATACTAAAAAGGTGAAGGTTATAAGTCATTAGAGCGGACAGCTCAGAAAAATCTGTCACCGCGACTCACCAGCCCACCCTCGGTACGCCCACTCAAATCATGCCATAAAACCGACACGAATCATGACACACCACTCTTATAACAGCTAAGAGGAAAAAAAAAAAACCTGCTAAATTTACATTGTTTCACACCAAACTGAATCATAGAACCCACAAATGCTCAGTCATCTGCCAACAAGCACTGGTGAAATTTTTTTTTATCATAATACACTGAAATGTAAACAACTCAAAGATACAAGGGAAAATATTTGTGCTTAAACAGAATTTATTTTTTATTTTTTTAACCCCGCTGCCGACTCAATCCTGTGATATTTTCCAGGACTTTTATTCACACAGCTGGTAGCCTTTCTCCCAGTAAAATCCCTGATTTTGAAAAATCTATTCAACCCCAGCCTTTTTTCCCTTTCACTGTATGCGACAAAGCTACTTTTTTGAAAGTTCTTTGAACAAACACTGCTTGGCAGAACTTAACCAAGAAATGCGTCTTCACGTTTTAGTAAAAGGGTAAAAAAAAAAAAAAGTTACTCATCTCTACCTGCACCACGAAGCGGCAATCCAAAATCACTCCAAAATAGTAAACCGTGTTTTTCACTCATCAGTAATCATGAGTAGAAATGGTGGCCGTCGAGTATTGCATGCCGCACCGTTCGGGATGATGGATCTGCAGTTAATGTCAAAGTGATCTTCTTAATCACAAACCCGTGTCCCTCTGAAGCTCTCAGGTATGCGGGGCACTCGTGCAATTAAACACAGGAGTGTCTCGCCAGACGACTTTGACTTACGAGTCCTTCATTCCAGTCGTCCTGCTTTTGCTGCAGAACACGCGCAAATTGTAATGCAACCTTTACATCAGGCACAAATCTCTCAATATGAAAGATGGCTTCAGTGCTTCCTCCAGATAAAAGGAGTGTAACCATGGACCTGTCTTCATGCTGTCCTTTCTGTCCAAAATCCTGTGATCTCCTTACTGCTCTGCGATTACATCTTCCTACCCGTCACTTTGATCATCAAGGCTACTCTGGAAGGTTTTAAGGCTAAACTCGGGTCCCAGTGTTTTGCAAAAGGAAGAATTTAACACACGAAGGAGGGATTTGGAAGTGAACAAGGGTGCCGTTTATTTCAAATCTGCTCCAAGCAGAGCCTGTATGTCCACAGCTAAAAGCGACTTAACATTAACTGCCTTACTTCATCCACAAAAACTAATGTGTTTAAAGTTGGTTTTGTTTGTATATTTTCCACATTTCACGCACAAATTTCTCACAATTCAGTCACAACTACCATCTTCTGTTCCTGCTCGTTTGTTTTCCTCATTTCTTTTGTTGTGCATTTTCCACTTTCAAGGTACACTGCATTCAGATTACAGCACTGCCGCTTTGATTTTCTTTGCTTGCTCCAACCGTGTGATTTTCTTTCATAAACCTCACAATTCTTTATGATGTTTGCTCAAAGGTTTTAGACACACAAAGACTGCAAAAGAAAACGTGTTGAATTCTAATTATTCCTACAGACGTTTTAAACTCCTCGTCATTCCTTGAAGGAGGCGAGGTTTTTCTGTTCCACCAGGTGTTTGCTAGTTGCTGCTGCCGCTAGTCTGGTGGAGCCGTGTGAGGAAATGGCTGAGCGAGTATTTTAGACACAGAATGACTGCGATTTCTCAAACACGTACAAAAGCATGAAGGCAACACTCCAGGCATGTTTTCAATGAGGGAGTAGCATTATTATGTGATTTAAAGCTGAAAAAAGTTAACTTTACGTTTTACTTTCCCTTCAAATGCAACAAAAATAAGGTGCGTTCTCTTTTGGGGTTTTGTTTTTTTACAAAATCTCCACATTTATTCACTCCATGTTCACTGCCCGAGTCTGTCCTCAGTATAAAAATGGGTCTGTTTCTTCAGCACATCCAGTCACTCATCCAACACTATAAAGACAGACTTTTCACACTAAAACTTGTTTAGAAGACATAGCATGTAATTTGCACAACCCTCAGTCTGATGAAAGATATGAGCGCCGCATAAGAGACGTACATATTTAACCAAAAACACCCTTTTGTGCTAGAGTGGGATGGAGGGAGAGGACGAAGGCACGTTTTCGTCACGAGAACGTAGTGATGAAATCTACCCTCCAACCATCTTCTCGCTCAATAATCTTCATGCTCGGGATTTACTCGCAAACGAGATCTTGATCTTAACAAGTGTTCTTCCCTAAATAAATAAAGCAACACTGTTAAGCCAGTGCAGCGTTCCTGCACTTTAACCGGATTTATTGGCGAATCTTACATCTGTGACAAGACCAATTGTACAGTTCAGCTGCATTTAGATTACAACCACACCATGATTTTAATCTTTTGGAGCCACCTGCAGGGAGGTTTACATTAAGCCTCAGGAAAAAAACAAAAACAAAACAAAACAGGGATTATTAGCAGCTGCTGTAATGTACACAATCACTTCAACAGGTATGCAAAAGCTGACATCAATTATCGCAACTGCATAAGAGTGAACCACGTAAGTAAATCGTCACCGATTACAGATAAAAAAAATCTATAACTGCATGCTTCGAGTGGGACTTAATAAAGGGATTCCCACCATTCACAGCTAATATGTGGCCAGAATGGAAATTGAATAGGATATTTGTATTTCATAATGCAGACTGAGAGCTGATATTAATTTTTAATGTGTTCTAGGTGACGAACAGTGTGCCGTGCCAAATGGTTATTTGCCATTTTCCAAACACCGGTTCTAAAGCATTGACGACACCTTGAATATGAAGTTTGTCCTTGGTAAAAAAAAAAAATTTAAATCTAAAGATATGCACTCTGTGGTTAGGAGTAAGAAACTCCGGGCCTCATCTTTTAAAGGTTTTGCATGTACAAAGCCAGGTGCAAACTCAACAGCAATGTGCAAACCTGACATGCACACAAAGTGGAAACAGGATCGTGTCAGCAAACTGAGGAGGATGCAGTGTCTGCCTTCACAAGTGTGCAAAAATATGTGCTAATGGTAGGGTTAGGGTACTTGGACTTGTGAATTAGAAATGTTTAACACAGAGAAGATTAAACATATAGAATCTGCATTAATAGCAACAATCCTTGTTGGGATTTTTCCCTTGCTGTCGGACACAATAGTACTTTGTATTATTGTCAGCACGAATGA